AGACATAATCTACAGGATATTTTGCGTAAGTATGGATTTAATAATTTGTCCCTTCATGTACATGCATAAGTTTTCCTAGGGGCATCATTTGACCTGCAGATTGCCTATTACCAGAGGTGGTGTGCAAGAGAGGAAGCATCCATTCTGAGTCTTGAATACCAAGCTGAAATAATAGGAGATGTTGTCTTACTTGTAACCAGACATTAAACGTGGAGCCCTCTGATATGATTTATTTTCCCTGCTCTGTGCAGAAACTTTTCCAAAAAGAATTAAAAAAAAATAGGCAGTTCACAAAAGACCAAGTTATAAGCTAACATTTTTCAAAATGGTAGCTTAGACACAGGTGTGTGAAAACACGCATAAGCACCTAACCAAGTGATCTGGCAGTATAGATGTGTGATGGAGTTAAAGCTACTTTGTGAGCTACTGCTAAAGTGAGTTGCCACAGCTTCCTGTTCTCTTCTCCTCCTCAGTGGCAAAGTTAAGCCAGCAGGGAATGTATTTTATCTTGCCACTGGAGTAGGATAAGTGGGCAGTTACAATGACTCAACTGACAAGAATTACCTGCTACATTAGCCTTTTGTACCTTGCCCTGCCTCTTATTTTCAGACGGTTGATAACCTGGTCACCCCTAGTCAGGCTAATTGTGTGTGAATCTTAAAACCATTATTTTAGGTACTCATAAGATAGAAAGATGACTTACTAATGCGACTTTATGCACATTTGATAATGTACTATTTTGTCTTTGCTACCTTGTCAGCACAAACAGCAGGGGCTTTTGCAGGTCCCCTCAGCAGCATGTCTCTTTTTGCTACCAGTCCTAGAAATCTTGGAAGGCTATGTGTTCACCTTATGTCACCGCATACTGTTATATCTGAGGTGCAGCAACCAAGATATATTTGTTCTTATTGCAAGTACTTACAAGGTAGCATGGCATAATTGTCCCTCTGCAAGCATCTCTCTCTAAACTATTGTTTAAAATTGCCAGACGCATCTTTGTTCTTTATTAAGAGTAAGACAACAACAGAGAGTCTAGTTATCAGGAGATAATCATTCCCCAAGGGCATTTTAAGCACTTGACAACCAAAAGGTTGTGATTACTCCACAATTGCTATACTGTTTATTATTCCTTATTGCTTAATTATGGAACCAGAGTGTGTTTCCTAGATGCTGTCATCTACATAAGATTCTTCAGTTCTCATGCTCTGCTTCAATGTTACATGGACTGGGAAGCTTTGTAGCATTTCTAGATGATGTAGGGGATAGCAGTAGGGCAGACCAGTCATGGTAGCTCTTCTGGCTTTTGGGAGACGAGGGCATCCAATCCTTGCCCTGCGAAATGCTTGCTGAGGCGCCTTGGGCAAATCATGCAGCTTCTGTATACCTAAGTTCTACACCTCTGTTCAAGTGCTACCATAAATAAGGCTGTGGCAGTATCTAGAATAGAAATAATATAATGGACTTTGTCTTGATCTATAGGTACAGACTCAGGCAACACGCTATGAAGACAAGGATGTTCTTTTTAGCATGTGCACATTCAGCTGGCTTATTTTGTGTGGTCTTTGGTGGAGTGCAGTGGCTGAGGGTCTTGTGTGCGTGGGGGCTGAGTGCATGGGAATAGGGGGTTTAATTGCATAAAATACTCTATGTGATTTCACAAGATGTGTGACTGCCAGCCCAAGTGGTCTGGCTCCCAGTGGCGCTGATAGTTTGGTTGCTTGTGACCAGAAAGAGCCTCCCCAACAGGGGCTGTTCACATTTCTTAAGCTTTATTCAGATTTCCATCTCTGGTTAAAGTAAGCCAACACAGTTTCTGCTTGTGGTGCTGTAATGTATCACACCCAGGCAGGTTACTAGTTTGGCAGCAAGCACACCTGAATCGGCGTGTAATGCTGTTGTGTTTCAAAAAGGCTTTGATGTCTCCACTCCCTACTCGTTCAGTGAGTCTTACGTGACTCGCTGCCCTGAAAGGCAGTGTGCTGTTGTGGTTACACATTGGAAAAGAGTAGAATGTGTGGCATTTTCCAGACTCACTGGGCCTAGAAATCTATCCTGAAGAACTCATTTTTTTAAGTCTTTGATTTAATGTTTCACTGAAACATGTAATCTACTCTAAGGAGGGGGAAAGCCATCCAGCATGTATTTTAACATTAGCCATGATTTTTTGAGCATGTACATTAATGGGAAGATGAGAAGATGGGGGATAAATGAAGTTTCCAAATCATCACCTAAATTTTCAGATGAAACTCCTGCTGAACTTCATTCGTTAAACTTGTTTTTGAAAACTTGAATAAGAAATAGACTGGGTGAATTTCCACTATTATTACAAGGTTGGCATAAAGTCTACTTAATGAGGGGCTTTTTACAGCAGTAGTTGATTTTTAAATCCCCCTTTTCATTCCTGAAATTTAAACATTAATAGTACATTGTGGCACTCCGTGCTAGTGTGCATCTTCTGTCTTCTGCAAGAGGCTGCATGCAATCCTCCTAGCGAGCTCTTGTGTCATAAATAGAATTTGTTCAGGAAATAAAAATGTATTGTTTTCATTGTTAGAGGATGCTACTAAATTGGCTGTATGTTTGTCTAATAATCACATCTAAAGCTGATTATTCTGGTAATAGCCTTAAGATATTATTTAAAAATAAATATATAAATGCACTACTTTTGTACTAATACTAGTTTTTAATCTCTTCTTGTTTCTATGAAGTCTGAATGAGATTTTCAAAATTGGATAATAATTTGATCCGTTAATCTTTTGAAGCTAGTAATTTTATTTTCCCCTCTTTGCAGTCTCTGAGGCTCGCAAATGAATAGAGCTTCATTACTGGAGTCTGCATTTAATAACCATTATCCATTATCTTGTAATTAAGACTCCCTGTAACGAATCATGAGGACAATGCAAAAATACATAGTACATTTCTTTAATGAACTGGAAAATGTTCATCTTGTTCTATTTAGTAATGAGTTGCTGAATAGTCGTTAAATCCACTGGAGAATAGAGCTAGATGGATTTTGAAGACTATCTTGAGTTTGTGGTTAATCTATTAGAATTAAAATTTCATCTTCTATTTTTATCAACAGCTGATTAGAAGTCATTCTGTTTGACCAAATTGATTAGAAGACCATATACAAGGGCAGCTGTTGTTTAATGAAAGTTTTTAATGAAACTGTACCATAGAGACTTGTAATTATAAGACTTATAAAAGCTTTGACTTACCTTACACTAGAAAAAATGAAAAGTATTATACTGAAGGACTTTAAGTGCTACATTTCAAAAGGGAAATTAAAAATATAATTTGGCAATGTTGAAGTTTCACTTCCACTGTTACTTGTTTTAATGTGACTATCAGATGTCTATAGTGTCTATCTGGAAGGAGTAGCTCTGAAATATGTAACTCAGTTGTCTCTCATGTACTTCATTCTTTGCAAAGCTCAATCAACTGTTAATTGGCTCTTTTGCACATTGCATTTTCTCTGGAGTTAGAACTTTTTTCACAAAAAACCTGTTTTTCTTTAGAATGGAAATTGTCATTGGAGAGTGCAATTTAATCACCAGTGGGCTGAGTTAGTGCCTAGACAGGAAACCTACAGAGAAAACTATGTCTTACCAGATGCAATGTTGGTGATATCATTTGATTATGTTTAGATCAGAGGACACAGAAACGTGCTCGCCTTTGTCTTAACACCACATCAGGCTGAGACCTAGCTGTGTGTCAGTCCGCTGTGTCTTCAGGAAGACAGGTCTCTGGAGTGTGCCACAGCACACTGTCAGAACGTAGTCTAGGCCACTCTTTGCTTTGAGCAAGTAGTGACACTTTTGTTGCTTACTCTAGGGGATGTTATAGAGGCATCATCATTCAAATAAGAGACAAAATGGACCCTAAGCCAATTTTGAAGTGGAAGCAGATGCAGTTCCAATTGACTTAAGTGGATGATGCACTTCTACATGATGTTTGAATTATCCTTCTTCTCCCAATTACTTTTGATAATTAATGATCCTACAGTACACCTTTTCTAAGAAGCAGGTTCCCAGGGATGAAGTGTACCCTAATGCAATTAAAGAAGTTTTGTCATTGTATTGTGTCAGTGCAGGAGCACACACTGCAAGGCAAATTTTTTTTGTTATTTTCTTAGCTTTTTGTTATAATGTGCTGCAGGATTTGTTTTAAGCCAACACGGAATGGCAAGAATGCACAAGGACACTACACAAGTGTTCAGGACAAGCAGTGGAGAATATTGTTCACAAGTGAGAAACCAGAAAAAATTAAGCCAAGTCTAACTCTCCTTCTTTAAATAACACAGATGTTTTGACCTTGTTACAGCATTATATCAGACCATGCCTCTAAGTACAGTAATTTGCAATGTTACAATTGCAAAATGCTTAAGAAGGGAGTTTTCTCCCTGTTTATAGTATTACACAGGTGGTTTTGTAAATGCACATGGGAATTTTTTACTTTCACTTTAAAAAGCAGTGGGAAATACAATACTAGACTGTCAAATGTGAGACTAAATAGGTGCAAAGTTAAATTTTAAAAAAATGATGAAAATTGTTTCTATTCAGAAAGATCCTTGTGGAAATACTAAAATTTTTTTTATATGCAATATTTGTTTGGATGAAATAATTTCCATTGTTGTGGTTAGTTAGACACATTCCTATTAATGTAGATATACAAATATATTGAGTGTCCATACAGGAACATATATTACATTGAACGGTCCTGAAGAGATTGTTGGTCTGATAGCTAGAGCAGAGAATTAAGAGCTGGGATGTTTATTTAGCCATGAGATGTCTGACTTGCTCTGAAACTGAGTGGGTATCATCCTCCTGCTCCAGCCTCGACCAGAGCAAGGTTAGCACCAATGTTACAGGGATGTATGTGAAAAGAAATGCTTCATAATTGCTGTGAAGCATGATGACATCTTTGGAGGGTGTGAACTATGTTTGTGCAGAGTGATTCTTGTTCTAAAACTACCATAAAGCTATTTACTTCCTTTTCAGGTTCTGATTTTATAAAGACGTCTACAGGAAAGGAGGTGGAAAATGCAACCTTCCCAGTTGGAGTAGTCATGATGCGAGCCATTAGAGAATTCTACTGGAAAACTGGCAACAAGGTAATTCTCACTACTTTTATACAAACTGACCAAACAGGCTCACTCAGAAGGAAATAAGACCTTAAGTTTCAAAACGCAGAATGTAAATTCACATATGTTATCTTCCATGGCTATGTGAGCAATAGGTAATGGGACTTCTCTCTTGTAGCCCTCATTTGATTTGCTCATATTTGTGTGCTTAAATAATAAAAAAAAAAGGTGTCACTTTTGGCTTTCCTCCCTTGAATAATTATCACTTAATTCCCTAAAAGCTCATGCAATCTTGGTGCATCCCCTGCTGCATTTGGGGTTGAGCTTTGTTTCACAATTTAGGGTATTGAAATGGTCACCTCCATTAATGAAAGGGCAAATCTCAAGCTGACAGTGATTGCCATACTCCAGGTCCAGTTGGATCCTGCTCTCTGGGACGGAGGGAGGCAGGGGCAGGGTCCAGAAGAACATTATGTCCTGGCACACAACATCTATCTTGTCAGGTCACTGTCAAGTGAAGTCAGTGGAGGCAAGGAGCTGGGGGGAATGTATGGCAGAGCCAGTGATGAACTGTCCATGCATCCATCCTTGCTCTGAAGCAGTGAGAAACAAGGAGGTTATCCAGGAAGGTTTAAGCCACCTCTCACCTTCTTTACCCACAGGCAAGTGGGGGCTGCCAGTTAGATCTGGTATTCAGCAGTGGGCTTTGACCTCACCTGCAGCCTCAGGGAAGGCAACCATATGTGTAGTTAAGACCCCCTCCCCATTTCTGAGTCACCCTTTGGTCCTCTCCAGCTCACCCTTCTGTCCTGTCTGCAGGTGGCCTGTCAAGGTATGATGTTAGGACAAAGGATGAGCAGTGGGTTAGGGGCTGAGGTGGTTTCAAGGGACTGTCGGAGCTTGAGGAGAATGTGACAGCAGGTTAGGCATGTGTCCATCTGCTCTCTGTAGTCATCTAGATGAGGCCAGTGCGGATCCCTGGGCTGTCCTCACTCCTCCCTTCCCCAGCCTGCATCTCTCTCTGCCATGCCAACAGCTTGAGCAGCTCTGATAGTCTTGCTTCTGCAGGAGCATTTTCACTGCTGCCAACCTGAGGCAGATCCTTGCTTACATGGGCTCTTTTGCATTAACACAGCTTTGTACCTATAATTGGATATAAATGTTGAATTCACCTTTTGCTTTAAAAAGATGCATTCATGGTATAAAATGTGTTATTAAGAATGAGTGCTTATGTCTGTGTGCATGTGTGTGTCAGTGAATTAGATGTAAACTGACTTTATGTGCTTTTATTAACCGAAGACAATATTATCAGTGACAAGAGATTTCTAAATGGTTTCTTTAACAAACTAATTTTGCTGCTGTAGGGATGCTTTCTAGCAAGGCGTTGGCTGGGAAAAACAGGTTAATACAGAAATTAAACTTCTTCGAGGAAAGGAACAAGTTGCAGGGTAACATTTATTGAATGATAAGCTGTGGTGGTGATATGAAAAGTGTGCAATATAATGGGAAATAATCTTTTCCTGTCATTATTGAAGAACATACATAAATTGGTTTTTCTGTTGGGAAAACCCCCAATCCAGAAAAACTTATTACTTTTAATAATATAAGGTGAAGAGAAAATTCTTGAGGAGATGAACTTATTAAGCAAAATAATGAAATGCTGTGAAACAGCAGGAAAGTGGTAGCTGGACTTTGTACTGCTCTTGAATTAAATTCAAACCCCCCTTCCTTTTTGCGTTTTTATGGCAGTCAGATGTGCCGTTTGGAAAGCTGGTAAATGGAAGAGAGAACAGGCTTGCCCTTGTCAGCTTTTTTGCAAAGAAAAGAGCTTTCACAATTTGCTAAAAGGAGAAGAAATTATGCATGGTGTTTTTAATTCTTTTATTAACTCTGTTTTACTTGGTTTTGCCACAGATTATCTCAAATAGCTGTAATGTTTCTAGGAAGAAATCTAAATTTGAATTTCATTAGAATTTATTTTCCTGAGGGAAAACACATTCCCACTATTTTCATTTATTGTCTAGAAGATGCTTTTCCAGTTGCTGTGGTTTAAATTCCTTTTGGAAATCTAATGTTAACAGATTTATGCATACACTTGCGCATCCATCCGTCCATCCATCCATCCATCCATCCATCCATCCATCCATCCATCCATCCACAAAAACAGTCTTTGAGTTTTGTTTTTATCAAGGTTTTTCTGTTATTTTTCTTTATAATCTTATTGAAAATATGCTGTTATCACAGTGCTTCAGTGTGAGAAAAGGATTTATTCTGTGTTTATTTGTCCTGAAATCACTATAAAAAATTACCAAACACATTTAAAAACAGATACGTTTTGATTCCACCATTATATCCATAAAATACAAAGAAATCCTCAGTGCAGTGAGGTTTCAGGAACGTATACACAGAAATCAGAACAATAATTCTTACAGAAGGAGGCTGTCAGGAAGGGGTACCCAAGGTAAAGGTTTATGGTAGAGGGAAATGCAGAAAGAATCACCATGTGCTACTGTACAGATTGTTCAGTTTTAATTTTTTTTTTTTTTTTGGTGCAGAAACACTTGTTCCTGATTCTCCTTGTTTTTCAAGAGTTTAGTAAGCTGCTGCAGGCCAACATTTTGACTAATACAGGTGACAGAATTTTTGATGAGAGATTTGATAGCTGTGTGTCACAAGCTCTGACTCGGAATGAGATGTGTTTAAATGGCACATAACCAAAAGACTGGCATTAGGGGTGCATGCCAAGTCACCTTAGTGCTGGCTCTGCACAGCAGGTTGATCATGGAATTCAAGACATGCTTTACTTCAAGATAGGCTTTTCTTGGCGTGTGTGCCTCTACATCCATGGCAGTTCACCTGGCCAAATTATGGCATGTATCTCACATCGAGTGGCTGAAAGCATATCCAGCATGCGTTGGGAGAGAAGTTTTTCAGTTCCTGTGAAGCATGAAACTTTCAATTTTTGGTAAAGACAGATATAATATAATTCCCATTTGGAAAATTTTAGTGGTAATTAAACCTCTGATAATTTGAATGTACAGCCCAATCATGTATAACTGTGGTGCACAGGCTTTCTATAAAGTACAGTCATCTCTCACTGCTCTCCATATGAGTCACCTGCCTCACGTGCTTTATTTCAGCATCTGTAGTGTTATGTCATTGTGTGGATATTTGCTTTTATATATTTGGAATTAGATTGTGACATGGACAGTAGGTGATATACAGCTATCCCAGGTCCTGCCTAAATCCTTTGGCCTAGGGATTTGGGCAAAGTACTACCATGAGACCTCAAACCCAGCTGCTGAGAAACTGCACTGGTGTCAAAAGTATTACTCCCTCAGTTGCTGTCCCTTGGGATGAAAATGTTATCTTTTGCAGTGATGGCTGAGGCTTGATAGCTCTCAGCACTAGTCCAGCTTATACTGTTTGCAGTCAGGTACTTCCTGAGTAGAGTTGTTAGATACACCACAGGCACTTTGAGACTGCAGGTGTACAAATGCTGATTGCTCTTCTAGGGTTGCCGATGAATGAAAATGTGTATTGCACTTCTTTTTTCTATATAAAGGTTGGATTTAAGCCTGCTGGGAGCATTCGGACGGCAAAAGACGCTATTACTTGGCTTATGCTGGTGAAGGAGGAACTGGGAGTGGAATGGCTAACACCAGAGCTCTTTCGCCTGGGTGCCAGTAGTTTGCTGGAAGACATTGAGAAACAGGTTAGCTGTTAATGGTTTCCAGCTTGGTGGAGAGAAAAAGCAATCTTTCTAAATGTGCTACCTTACTGTTTTTGCGGAATATGCTTTAGGTGCTGTTTAAAAGATAATATAACATATATCTATTTCATTATTAACAACAGGTTCACTTCCAGCTCAGTATTTCTTTAAATTTGGCCTGCCATTACAGACATCTGGGACTCTTGATATTCCAGCAGCTGACAATTGCCTGGGCCAGGTTCACATTACAGTGAGCAAAGATGCTCAGTTTATACATATGTGGAGTGCTTTGTAAATGCATGGTAGTGCAGTCCCCTGCACTCCTAGCTGTTGCCAGTTCAGCTGACCTTCAGAATATCTCATAGACCCTTTGTGTCACTGTCCCACAACTGTTCAGAGCATGTTTCCATGCTGTGGAGAAAGTCACGTCTCATCCTACATAGGGTGCTACTGATAGAGAAGTTTTTACATATTGATTATTTCCTAGGGATGCAAAACAATTGCCTCCTACAAAGCCTCATTTTTCTGATTGCTTTATTTTTGTGTAGGCTGGTCACTGTATTTCCTGGCAGACAGTGTATGAGGTGCAGGGGAAGTGTGTAGTTCCTGGGGGAAAGAAAGGTTCTGACCTGTGTACCCATGACTTACCTCACTTGTGCAGGGTATCAACACTAAAGGATACAGCATATTTGAGAACAGTGTGTAGTGTCAGAGGAACTACTAAACCATTAGGGCTGCTGTACTTCGCTCCCATGTTCATTAAACCCAAGAGATGAGGTGAAACTAGCTTTAGCCAAGAAAAAAGTTTGAGAGTCCTTGTGCTGTTGCTGCTAGTGGGAGAACATGAGGTGTAGGGGATTCAGAGGAGAAAAAAAGTGTGTTCCCTTTCCCCACCTTTCCTAGCAACTGAAATACTGACATGTCTTAAGAAATATAGAACAGCTGAGAGATATCAAGTGACTGTTGAAAACCCCTGGCTCACTCTTGCAATGAGAGTAATATTGGATTACTTTATTGCCGAACTGCCTCTGCCTCACTCTTGACCTAAAATCATGTCCCTAGTTATGACAAAGCAACGTGAGCTTTGTTGTTGCCACTGCCATTGCTGCAGAGTCTTACAACACAGCCAGTGATTGTGTGGCACAATTTGTTCTGATTTCTTAAGGGTGTCATCCTTTTATCTGCCAGGGATTGCACAAATGCCTCAGTTACAACCAAAGCTCTGCTATACTGTGCCATCTAAAAATATGTAAGATAAATGTCCCAATCATTATATTCAATAAAACAAGCAGATATTTTAAAACCCGAACAAAGAGAGAAAATGGGGAGAACACTACCCCACACCTAAACCAGTACAATTAAAAGAAGAGTTTGAAATGAACCTTATAAAAGCATAAACAATTTTGGATACTTTGAATATAACAAAATAATACTGAACTAGTGAAAATCAGATTTCAGTGAGAGTAAAGCGTTGTCTTCTACCTGTCTCTTTTTGAAAGCTTAGTTAAAAGCAACAAGTCTTTGGGTTTTTGTTTTTTTTTTCGCAAGCAAAGAAGCAAAAGCCCTTAGTTCAGATCCCATAAACCAATATATAAAGGTATATTACATCATATTTTATGCACACACACACACACACACACAAATATCCATCATCTTCATCTGGCATGCCTTTAATTTGTTACTTCCTTGACACTTTCAGATTTATAGTTGTATATAATTCCATCATAAATTTTCTTTTTTCTTGCAGATTTTCTATCATGTGACTGGCTCTTACGCACTCCAGCATGACCTGGCAATGGCTTAGACACAAAATCAGCAAACAGCATTCAGAAGTCTTCTGACAACCAAGTGCATATGATAGAATTAAAGGCCTAATTCTCTCTTCTTCATATTTTATAGTATTTAAAAATATGCTCAAGTCTGCTGGTTGTACTTGATCCAAAAGCAGAATAAATGGTAATTCTGAAATAGTTGATACTTACAGATTTGCGAAGTTAATTTTGCAAAGTCTTTCTCAGACTCGCCTGAAAAGCTTATTAATGACAACACTGAAATACTATGAAAAAGATTTAGGTAGCCTGGGAACTCTTCGCAGTCACAGAATATGAAATATCTATGGAATGTTTCAGATCACTAATTAAGAGCTACAGATCTTGGAATAGCTTTCCATTCACCTCAGACAAGATCTTCTGCCACAGATATGTTGCACTGTTAATTGTTATGTTGATTCAGTTTCAAGCATTGTAATGTGAGAAAATGAAACTTGACTATTACTTTCTTTTATAAAATGTCTCTGTAGCAAAAAGACCTTTTTTTTTTTTTTTTTTTTTTTTTTTCCCCCCCAAACTTGGGCACAGACATCCATATTTAGACCCTTGAATAAAGGTGGCTTGATTTCTAGAACAGCTAAGTATCCACAGTTGCTCCTGAAGTTAATGGGAGCTCTGGGTGATCAGAACAACTGAAAATCAAGCAACCTCTATATAGGTACCTAACTATGCATTCAGGGGCCTATTTTTAGGCATTTCACTCTTAAAATTTTAGTCTAACTTGCTTAGAAGCTCCCATTCCTGTCTCCTGTCATTTTAAAACGCATTCATGCAAATCTTTCCATTTTAATGTAGGGGGGTTTGACTGTCAGTTTGCAGATGTCACTGCTGTACTGGCTGAACTTCAACTTTGCCATTCTAAAGGCAATTCTTTAATTTAAAAGGTGATTTGAATTGTGTCCTATACAGGGTTTACAGCTTTAATGTAAAAAGTGCTTTTCTTAGAGCACATTAAGAATAATACTGAAATCATCAACACCTTTTGAGTATCAGGCTGGAGCTAGTAGATTCATTATTTCAGAACTGCATTCTGTTCACTAACCAGAGTTGTACTAAAAACTTAATTATCATCATGACTAGTCTCACTGACTTAAGTAGGTCTCATCAGGGAAGTAAGAGGAAGAGGATTTTGCTGTAAATGAAGCTACAAGGTAAATTTATTACAAAGAGATCTGTGCTTCATAAAGATAATGCCCCCTGAATCACTAGTGCTCTACAAAACACCTTGAATCGATAAGGAAACTGAGTAGGGGGAAAAAAAATATCAAAGAAACAACATATGCAGAAAACAAAACCCTATATGCAGTGCTCAGTACTAAAAATAGGCCTTAATTTCCCAGGAAGAAGTTCATTCAAGGCACTCAGCCTTTTTCTGGTTTAGGTCTCAACACAGAAAATGATACTAAGCTGTGACTGTATTTTCACACATTTGTTTTCCTGGAAAATGGCCTTTTTTTTGCCACAGGTTTTCCTTCTGGTTTCACTGCCAGTTTCTTGAAGGGAAAATTGACTGCCTGTTTGCATATTTAGAGGAAAATTCTGTTGTTGAGCTTTCAGAAATACAGAGCCTGTTCTATGAAGTCAGCTCCCACCAGGTGCTTGCCAGGTTGACCCTTTGCCATGCCCTCCCAGCAACCACACACTGGATCTTGCTGCTTTTTGTCTCTAACTGTATAAATGTTAGAGTGTGTGTCTATACTTTCATAATGGAAAGATTCACCTCACTTGCAAAGTACACTTTTTTTGTTGTTGGTTGTATTTTGTACATTTAGGGTGAAGATAGAAGCTATTTTTTGAAGATGCTTTAGTTCTAGGTGAAGGACTCTGTGTAGTTCCTTAAAATTGAAGGTCCAACTTTGTTGCCTAACTTTAATGTGAGTACCTCCGAGAACAACCTCACTGTTTCTATGGGAGCTGCATGTCAATTAATGAGCTTGCCAGGAGGAATTGTTTATATTTCTGTTGATGCCTCCCCTTTTGTTTTGATGTTCATGTGGGCTTCTGCTGGTTACTTGGCTTCACAGTGAACATTTGAGGAGGGAGAGTTTCAGCTTTCTGAAAAGTCGAACATAGCCACCTTCCCTTTTCCATGAACATTACAAACGCACCAATGTAAAATACTATGCAGCTCCAAGCCAAGCAGGGTTCTGGGAGAAACTGCATTGGAAAGTAATTTAAACATTTTTTCTGTTGAAACCTGTAATATGGGGGGGGAGATATAAAAGCAACAGAATCTGTGAATGCAATTCAAATAAAGATGATCCTGGTTTTGGGGTGGGGTTATTTCAAGGAATAAGCAGAAGGCTCAGTGTTAGAGAGGGACTGGTTGTCTTTGTTAACTTCTCTCTGATTCAAGTGAATTGTATTCATATGGTCTGTGGTTGTGGACTCCCAGCATAATCCAGAGCCTTGTCTTTCACTCCTCCTACAGAAGCTGCTGGTACCAGCCAGGTATTGGTCTGTTGACAGTCCTAGGTGATACAAGGGGATGAACCTGGGCCGGGGATGCCATAAGGAGCAGCAGGGGACTGGGTTGGAGGTGTACAACAAGGCATGTCCAGGGGGCCCATCCAGGAGACAGCTACCAACAGCGCAGTTCTGAGGTCCATCCCAGAGGCAGAGGCAGGGCTGAAGACTGCCACTCCTGCGGCGTAGCTCAGGGAGGTGCTGAGGGCCATGGTCTGAGCTGAACTGGAGCCCTGCTGGGTGTGTGGGAGGCTGGACAGGGGCAGAAGCATCTGAGAGAACCAAACATGGGGGATACAGGTACTAACGTGTTTCGAGCTCAAGTCAGAGGCTGGCAGGGCAGGACCTGCACTCCTACCCATGGGGAACTGGAAGCACTTGCAGTGTGGTCTCCTTGATTTGCTGCCCTTCGAGTTGACTGGCACTTCAACTGCATTCTCTTCTGTCTTTCCCATCACTGATGGACGTTTGCTGCTATTTAGTTCCCGCGGTCAGAGGGCATTTGAGATTTATTGAGGCTGCTGCGCCTGGTTGTTGCTCCTGCAGACAGCAAGCATGTGAAAGGCGATAGATGGGGACCTGAACTCAGTTAGGAACCAGGGAGGGGGTGGCGCTCCACCACTGCATAGACTTTGGGAAAAGTTCAGATTTAGTGCTGTGCTTCAGGCCATTAGGAAAGGAGCAGGCAATTATGTACTCCTATCTAAATGTATTTCAGAGTATAACATATGTTTTGTACGAGTCAGTCTTGTATACTAATTTATTATTTTTATAACACTTATTCATTTAGGTTTTTAAATAGCTTCATTTTGTAGACCACATTACTTTGCAAAGAAGAAAATAAATTCAAGAAGAAAGTCAAGTAGAAACTGCAAATCTAGAAGATTCTGAATCAGCTTATTTATAAGAAGAGGGAATTGGGAGAGAAGGTAAGCTTTTTTTCTGGTTTGTAGGAAACAAAGATATTAAATAGTAAGTATATGTGAAATGTACATATCAGCTGGGGCAAGTAATACTTTGATGTCTTTATTTCCTCATTTGTATAAGTTCATTCTTTCATTTCCTTTGTGAAGCAGGGAACATACATACAATAGGACGTGCTATTGAGACAGAAAAAACGATCTACTTTTATTTTTCTCAGTTGGAACTTTGGCTTTCTGCCTTCCCTGGGAGGAAAAAACACAGAACAACAACAGCAAATTTTATCCAAATCTTGGTGAGATTTTTCTGAAATTACCAGTGCTGACATCTGGATGATATGTACAGTGTGCAGTAGGAGTAGAAGGAAGGAACTGCTTTTAATTAGATGTAACCTGCCCAGGAGAGAAAGACAGAGAATTGTCCATCTGGTCAGTCCTTACTTAATAGGCAACCAAGGATAAGATTATTCTTAATATCCAAAGACACCATAAGTGAAATTACTAATTGACCATTTTTATTAAAATACCAGGAAGCCAGAACTGTGCTAAATTAAGAGGTGGTAAGACTTGGAAAGAAGTGTCAAGAAAGGTTGCAGTCCTTGCACTCCCTAAAAGCAAAAGTAAGCAACTGATGTGTGACTATCAGTTCCCAAACAGCTGTCCTGTAGATACCTTTTTTCTGTTCTGGACAATTTGCAGGTTGTTCCCCTTCTGTGAGGACCTACAGGAACCACTTACCAAGAGAAAGTGTGCAAGTTTTTTTTTTTTTAATATCATTGAATGAATTTTAACATTGATACAATGAAGGAGTGCCAACAAGACTCTCTAGCCATTCCTAATGAGTCTAGTGATTTTAAGTGGCTCTGTTTTGAGCACTGGGGACATCTTGTGGATTGCTAATTCTTGGAAATTGCAGAAAATTTGCTCTTCTGGAAGCAAAGCTTTCTTGAGGCATAACAGTTTCAGATCTCTCAGATCACAGGTGGTGTTTGAAAACACTGAATTGTAAAAGCATCAATTTAGAATTGTTTCCTTAACTGAGATGAAAACAAAGGATTTTTTAAACAATGTTAACAGTGAAAGCCATACTGGAGTGGACTACACTTGTTTTTTCAAGTCTTGCTTTCTCTGTGGGAGGAGTAGAGAAGGAACTTTGCAAGCTCAGCTGGTGGAGATTAGCATTGCTGCTATACAGTATAGTGTTGTGTAAAACAGAACTGTAGGTTTGCCTGTGCAAATCTCATGACATTCATCAAAGCCAAGTGCACATGGGTTGGGGCAAATCAAAGCACAAATCAGGCTGGGCGATGGTGGATTGAGAGCAGCCCTGTGGAGAAGGAGTTGGAGGTACTAGTGGATAGAAAACTGAATATGAGCCAGAAATGTGCACTCACAGTCCAGAAAGTCAACTGTATCCTGGGCTGCATCAAGACGACTGTGGCCAGTGGTTAAGAGAGGGGATTCTCTCCCTCTACTCCACTCTTGTGAAACCTCACCTGCAGTGCTGTGTCCAGCTTTGGGGCCCCCAAACGTCAGAAGGATGTGGACCTGCTCAAGTGGGTCCAGAGGAGGCCATGAAGATGATCAGGGGCTGGAGCACCTCCCCTGTGAGGACAGACTGAGAGAGTTGGGGTTGTTCAGCCTGGAGAAGAGAAGGCTCTGAGGACACCTTGTAACAGCCTTGCAGTACTTAAAGGGG